CTACTTAGAACAAGCTTAGCAAAAGCATCAGGGACCGCGGTTCAATCCCCCAGCACCACATGCCAGCCAGCCCTGCCCCCTGGTGGGCTGAGCTGGCCTCTCTCTCTCTCTAATAAATAAATAAATAAAATTAAAAAAAAAAAAGTCTAATAATCTGCACACATAAAGAACTCAATAGTAAAAAAACCCAAGAAGGGCTGGTGAGACAGCTCGCAGTCTAAGCGCCTGCCTGGCAAGGCCAAGGACTCAGGTTGGATCCCTGAAGAACCCGGGCACACCGTGCTGACCACCAAAACTGGACGCAGTAGCGCATGCCTGTAATCCCAGCCCTGGGGAGGCTGAGATAGAAGGCTCGCTGTAAGTCTGAGGCCAGCCTGGGGTACAAAGTGAGTTCAAGGCCAGCCTGCACTGCATAGCCAAACTGTGTCTCAAAAAGAAAGAAAAAAAAAAGTTGGCAATTCTTCAAAAACTTAACTATGGGGTCAGGATATAGCTCAGTGGCATAAGTGCATGCCTAGCAAGCACAAAGTCCTGAGTTCGATCCCCAGTACCACAAAATAATAATAATAATTAAATACAGAGCTACTATGTGACCCAGCAATTCCATTCCTGGGGTGGGAATGGGTGGGTTCCAAGTAGAAATTTGTATATTAGTATTTTTTTATTTTTTATTTTTATTTTTGGCGGAACCAGGGATTGAACTCAGGCCCTCGCACTTGCCAGAGAAGCACTTATTCCACTGAGCCATCTCCCCGGCCCTTGTATATTAGTATTTACCTATGATATCCCAAAATGTCAGGGAAAAAACAAAACCCCAGCAACTGAGGAAAGGAGAAGCAGAATGTGGTCTATCCACATGCTCGAAATTATTCAGCCATTGGGGCTGGTGAGATGGCTCAGTGGTCTAAAGCACCTACTTAGAACAAGCTTAGCAAAGCAGAGGGACCGCGGTTCAATCCCCCAGCACCACATGCCTGCCAGCCCCGCCCCTGGTGGGCTGAGCTGGCCACACACACACACACACACACACACACACAAATAAATAAATAAAATAAAATGAAAAAGAAATTATTCAGCCATCAAGGGCCGGGGAGATGGCTCAGTGGAATAAGCGCTTCCCTGGCAAGTGCAAGGGCCTGAGTTCAATCCCCGGTTCTGCAAAAAAAGAAAGAAAGAAATTATTCAGCCATCAAAAGGAATGAGGTGCTAACACGTGCTACGATACAGCCGAGCACTGAAAACACTACACTGTGTGAAAGAAACCGGACACGAAACTTTACACATCGTATGATTCTATCTGCATGAAACAGATCAAATCTACTGAGACAGAGGGATCGGTGGTGGCCAGGGAGTGGAGAGAAGGGAAAATAAGCGACTGTCACCTGTATATGCAGTTTCTTTGAAGCGAAGGAAATGTCCTGGACTCAGAGTGACGATGACTGTAATGGATAACATATTCAGGGTGTTGCTTTGTGCCGTTTTTTATTTCTTTTCGAGACCGTATCTTACCATGCAGTTCAAGCTCACGGGAGGCTGGCTTCGACTTCACAACCTCCTGTGCCAGCCAAGTGCTGTGGATACTGACGCATGCCACCGTGCCCCCGTGCCCTCCTTGCACTATCCTACTCCTGAAAGGAGCAGATACTCTGTGTGCGATTTGAAGGATAGTCAACTGTTCTTCAATACTGAGGATTAAGCCCAGAGCTTCACGCATGTGAGAAGCACTCTGTCCCTTATCTACAGCCCCAGTCTTCTGTAAACAGGCCTCACTAAGTTACCTAGCGTCACCTCGGACTTGCAGTCTTCCTGCCTCAGGCCCCAATTCAGCTGATATTACAGATATGGACCGCCACACTCCATTCACATCTTAATTTTTTAAAAGGCCCCAAAATGACCCAAAAACACATGCAAATAAAAGCCCCATTATTAAACTTTAAGAAAGATCAAGAAAATATACATCTTTAATCAACTAAAACGCCAGGTATGGCTGCACATGTCTATGATCCCAGCTCAGGAGGATGAGCCAGGAGGGTTCCAACTTCGAGGCCAGCCTGGATAACTTAGAAAGACCCTATGTAGGGCCCGGGGAGATGGCTCAGTAGAATAAGCATTTGCCTGGCAAACACAAGGGACTGAGTTCAATCCCTGGTTCTGCCAAAAAAAGAAGAAAGACCTTATGTGAAAAAAATTAAAAAGAGCTGAATTTGTAACTCAGCATTACCTGGGCTTTCCCTAGTGAAGAAGGAAAAGGAGAAGCAGGAGCAGGAAGAGGAAGAAGAAGAGAAGGAGAAGAAAGAGGAGGAAGAGATGGAAAAAGAATATGAGCAAATATAGAGATATACATATTAAATTATTTTTTCTGAATTTATTTATTCATTCATTTTTGCGGAACCAGGGATTGAACTCAGGGCATTGCGCTTGCCAGGGAAGTGCTTATTCCACTGAGCCATCTCCCCGGCC